GTTAATAGTCTTACTCTGTATTCAAAACAGAGTATTTTTCATTTTCTAGCCCTAGTTTAAAATATATAAAGCCCGAAAATTTCCCCAAAAAGAAAAAAAAATGGAAGAGGAAATGTAATGGCAACATTGACTAGCAAGACCACATAGACTCTCCCAAACTGGCTTCATCCACCATGTCCATATGGCTAAACATGCCCTTGTTGTCCTGAGGGCTAACTTGCTTCGACGACGGCGATCCGCTACTACTCGGGCTATCCGGGCACAATCCGTGGCCCGGAAAATTAACCGAGTGGCGCACACGTAGGTGCACCACCTCGGCTTGAGCTAAAGCTAGCTGAGCTTGCAACACATCGATTTGTTGCTGAAGAGACGAAATTGCCCCTACGCAACCGTAAACCGGATCTCTCACTCTCGCATTAGCCTCGTAAACCATACTGCTCACCGCGTCTCCTCGCTGGTGGATCGGTAACTCCTGCTCGAGTTTCAAAACATCTTTTGTTACTAACAAAATCTCACAAGAACTAAACAAATGTAGATCACGTAACAAACTATAGCTAACATTAACACAAAACAAAAAACTATAGATACTATCACCATATTTTTCAATTCCCAGACATTATAATTTGTATAAAACCTCTTAATAATAAAATGTAAATTCAAAGAAAGTCTTAAAATAGTTTATTTACATGGGGTCGGACCATGTGGTAGTTGTCAATAAAAGTTACGGAAATGATAGTAATGTCTTATCTAAATTTAAAAAAAAAAAAAAAGTCCTAACTAACCCACAAATTATGATTAGTAGTTAAGCATGTTTTTAACAATTATTACCTGAAGCATCTTGTTAACGTTGCTAGCTCCGAACACTCTATGAACATTAGCGAATTTCTGTGGCTCATCCGCCGGAAAATACGGCGAGAAAACGCAATCTTGAGCACATCGCCGCCGTAAAAGCTTGCACGCCGCGCACGGTGACGCCGCTCCTTGTTTCCGGCTACTTTCTTTCATCTCTCGCCACTCCACGTGTCCTAATCTTGACGGTTGGATTGAAACGTGAATCGTCAAGTATCGAGAGAAGAGAAAGAAGATGTGCAGGGTTTAGGTGAAGGGTGAGTTATGTGGAGATTTATAGAGTGAGAA